AATAATAATTCAATTATCAATAAGTATTTACAAATTTTAATTTAAAAAATTAATCTGACTAACATTACTCTAGCAAGATATTTCCGTACAATCGATTCATACCTTAGTAGGTCAAAAGAGTGCATCAATGATCGGGCCCCATCAATGAATGAAAGACCAACTCCTTGGAGACCTTTCAAGTTCGTACAGTTCAAGTTCGTACAGGCTGGGTCTTTCTCTTGGTCGTTGTTTTCTGCCATGTGAATATGGCAGCCTGTCAACGTCACTATCAGTCGTAGCGGTGGAGGTTGAAAATTAACAGAGGAGCAGGGGAGTAAGATTGTTCTCCATCTTCATTTATATTTGAATGGTCACATTTAAGTGACATTAACATTTCATAATATTTGTTGTAGAAAGTAAAAATAAAATGAAATATGTGAGGGGATGAGAGAAAATGAAAGAGAAATAGGAAGGAAGAAAATCTTATTTCGAAGTTTAGAGTTCATGAGAAACTAAAAGGTCTAAAACAAGTTTTGGGTTTTTTTTTCGTAGATGACATAGCAGATATAAGAAAGGAAGCTCGAACGTTATTCCTTGGCTACAAAACAACTAGCAAACCCCTAGAATTCTCTAGGAAGAAAGAAAGAATAAACTCCAATTTGACTAATAATAGGAATAAGATTACAAACCTAAGGCCTATTTATAATGTTCTTATCCTAGAAACCCTAGCAAAACCAAATAAGAAAGGAATTAAACAAATAATAAAATATTAAAATGATCTTAAAATATTAAAATCCCGTTTTTGGTAATTAAAAGGTAGAATTAGGCCAAATTTTGACTCCGGCCAATTGTGAATCAACAAATATACATTTTCAGAATATGATAGCAGTAAATAAACTTTTAACACACGAATTACCAATTCTTCAATTACTTTTCTTGATTGCTCGCCGCTTCATTCTTTTACTTTCATTGCATGTGAAATAACCTTATTTCTATCCAACATCATCAGATTTTGAGGTCTGTCTTCAATGCTACGTAACACTCAAGTACAAATGTTTTAGCTATTAGATTTGATTTCTACAACTACTACATCTTTTATTTTCAACCTCATATATTCATATTCCGTATTACTCAATGTTACATACCATGGTAGCAATATGTTCACAACAATGTATTTTCCATGATAGTGATGCTAGAGTGGAAGTGACATTGTTGTTTTAATTTTTTTTTTTTTTAAATAATGCTAAGAAGATTAAATTTTTACACCAAATTTTGTAAACCAAATGATGTAGTTGTTGATAATTGATTATTATGTAAATGTTGATTACCGTGCTTATTTCCTATTAATGACATATTACTTAATTTGCAAATTTAATTTAAAATTTTAATCTATCTAGCACTACTCTTAAAAAATATGTTACATGTCAATGAACAAAATTTAATTTACCTAGCAGTACCTTTAAAAAATATGTTACATGTCAATGAAGAAAAATTGCAGATTTTTTAGACGAATTTAAAATTTCGAAAGAGGATTGAAAGCAGAAAATTGGGTATTGGGTACTCGAGTGATGGTTGGTAGTCGCACGCCAGCAAAGAGGATGATACAGCAGGGCTGCAGAGTTGGCTTTTCTTCTTCTGGCAGCGACAACGAAACTGATCTCACTCTGATTTGTTACCTCTCTTTGCGTTTTTATTGTTGGTTTATTTTGTTATTGAAGTTTTGTGTAGAATAAACAAGGAAATGACTTGGCTGCTGAAAGATTCAACAACACCTTCTGTTGCCAACCAATCACGGCTGGACACGTGTCCAAGTTGTGATTAAAAAATTTACAACTTGGACACGTGTCCAGCCATGATTGGTTGGCAGCAAAAGGTGCTACTGAATATTCAGCAGTCAAGTCTTGTTCAATAAACAATGTGGTCCCGATTTTGTTTGGTAAAAAGTGAAAAGGATCCTCATCGGATCCTTTTTTTGTGATCGTGGTCGTTCATTGTACATCATACGGTCGGTTTTCGTTACATACTATTTATATTTAATTTTAAATTTTAAAATTTGAAATAATTTCTGACCGCACGATGTATGATGAACGGTCATGATCACGGGATTTCCAGGAAAAGAATCCGACAATGATCCTTTTCCGGTAAAAGGGATTCTCACACATCATTTGTCTATTTTATTTATGTCTAACATGGATGTGCACATGTAGAAAAAGACTAACAAGGGTGCCTGCGCGTTGCTGCGAGATTGAAAATTGTATAACACATGTAGTGTGACAGCCCGTTTCGGACTTTTCGTACCGTAAGGGTGAAATGACGTTTTTGCCCCTAATATGGTTTTTTTCGTTGTGTGGTTGTTTTTGAGTTTTGATTGGTGGAGTTTGGACCACACACACACACCCCCACACTCACCCTCATCCCTATCCCTGTCCCGAGCTCTCTCTCTCTCTCTCTCCCATTCCTATTTTCTTGTATGGACAACACCATAACCCTTGGAAAACTTCACAGATCGAGGAAACAAATTACACAGTTGTGCTCGTGAGGTCCTCAGGAGTTCAACCATACCCATTTCAAGTAAGGATACCTTCGTTTTCACGTCTCGGGATCCCCCGATTTGGTCATTGTTCATGCACACGTTAATTCTCGTGTTTTTGGGAATTTCAAGCTTGTAGGAAGCTTGGTGAGGTCCTTAGGAGGCTCGGGGTGGTTCGTTTGAAGGTTTTGGACGTCAAGATCGTGAGTTGTAGGTTTGGCCGGAGTTGGTGCTGTTTTCCCGGCTAGATTCCGTTGGTTTTGTTGCTTGAAAGTGGTATGGATTTGTTCTTCTTGTTGTAAGCTTCATTTTGGTACCAATTTTGTGAAATTTGATTGACAAACGAAGAAGATACGAAGTTTTGAATTTTTCCCGGTTTTCCGACGCTGGCGACGGCGCCAGAGTTTGACCGGAGAAGACGACGGAATATTCCTAATGGCGTTAACGGCATCAGTTAGATTTAACGGAATATTCCTGACGGCGTTAACTGACGCCGTCAGTGTGCCAGACACGTGCCTGCGCATGGGCAGCGCGTGTGGCTGTGCCTTGGTCGGCGCGTGCGGCGTTGGAAAATTATTTTAAAAATTTGGGGATGTTCTTGAGGTTGAGTAGATCACGTTGGTGTATTCATACACCCCATTTGAGCTTTGTATGAGAAGTTATTTCGTGATGTTGGTTATGTGCTTTAAAATTAACGTATTTATAGTTGTTTCGCATATAGGTGAGACCTATCCTGAGGACGAGCGCGGTCACTCGAGGCAAGGGGGTTACGACCCTTCTACATACCAGTGAGTGGGCTTTTGGTTTTCCATAAATACCTATATACTTATGTTTTTCCCAGAAAGTGAAATGAAATGTTTATATGTTTATATGCCACTATATGGTTTGCCCAGTCATTTATGCATTATTGTTGCATATTTATATATGTGTTGGTGTTGCAGACGCACATGTAAGTGCCAGGTAAGTTATGGTTTATGCTTATGTTCAGTAGTGATTTGAGATGCATAGAGAGCTCATAATATGCACCCCCGATGTTAGTGCTCCCGCCCAGAGTTGGACACAGTCCTTCACGTGATGTTCACCTCCCGCACCACACGCTCATCTTGGATCCAAGTTAGGTGCACAGTCCTGTCGTACAGACCACTTTAGGTGGTTCCGACTCGTAGGTGGCCCACGATTATTTGCCCAGTCTTCACGTGATCGTAGCACTTAAGCGTACTTATTATACACCCAGTCCTGTCGTACATACCACTTTAGGTGGTTTCGACTCGTGTGCAGGTATAGTTAGTGAGATGGAGATTTGAGCTCTAGATTCAGCCGTACAGGTCATGTTAGGTGACTTCGGCTGACAGATTACATGGCATTGATTTGACATTACCTGAGCACTTGCATTCTATTTAGAGACATTTGACATGGCATTTTTCTGAGCATGACTTATATATATATATATATATATATATGTATATTCTATTTTCTGGGAAGTATACAGGTTTTACGGCGATGGGTTAGAACTTTGTTTATGAAATGGTTTTTGAAAAGCTTTATTTTTGCCCACTCACGCTTTCTGTTTTGCGCCCCTCTAGGTTCTAGTTGTCTAGCACTTTTGGTGGCTCCCCAGAGGATTTTCCCGGCATATCTGACAGATTATCACCAGTGTAGGACCACCTTTGGGTGTTTTTATTTAGTGTTGTTTCTCCCGGACTGTACTAGGTCTTCCATGCTCTGAACTTTGTTTTCACACTTACGCTTGCACATGTATGTTCTTACTTTGTGTATAGCTAGCTTTTATTTATTCGTACTTTTATTATTTATTAGCTTTCGCACTGTGCACATGGTTACGTCACTTCTACGTGACGGCTAGCATGCTCTGATCTCGGTCGGGGTGTGTCATGTAGAAGTTCTAAATTTTTTTTATATATATGTATATACATTTGACAATACTATTCACATGCATGTGCAAATTTATTTACAACTCTATCAACAATAAGGAACAAAATAGGTGTCCATGGGCAAAATGAAGTTTATGGTTACAAATTGTCAAATTCCATACATGTCAAACTTCATTTAGGAAGCTGGAACCGTAAAGAATAAAGTGATAAACACTCAAAGACAATTCACAATATGAAACTGTTGCTTCACTAAATAAGCAGTACCAACAAAATTATGCTTGTTTTGCTGCAAAAGAACAAAGTAGAAAAAGGGAAACAAATATTTATTTCTTTTTTTATATTCTGTGGAAAAAACTTGGAACAAGAAGCAATAGTGAAAAGATCATATTTATTTCAAATTTTTAGGCAGAGAAAAATAGTACATAAACCAACAATGAAGGCACATTCTGAGAAAGAATTGATGAAAACACATAGTACACATACTTGCTTAAACCTTTCCTCCTTTTGCTCAGCCTGTCTTTGGAGTAGATTAGACTTGGGCATAAATTCAAATTCAGTCAAGGATGAAACCCAAAAGTAAATTGTAGTTTCTTATTAAGACTAACAAAATTGTTTCTTAAAATAACAATATGTATATAAGCAGGATTGTGCTTAATTTTCTCTAAGTAAAGAAATGGTTTGCACAATTTAGAACTTGATATAACAAAAGCATAACAAAAAAAATTTCCAGAACTTGAAGTGTCTTTTGAAATCTCGGTCCTACTTCGAAAATCTACAAAGGGAAAAATTGTAAACCCAAATTAAAGCTTCTTCTCTCACTCAAAAGAAAAATGGAAACTTTATATGAAAAGAAAATTGAAATTCTGAATAATCAAAAGTGGATAAAAACTCTAAATAGATTATCTTAACGCGTAGGAGTTCCTTGTTAGAATTTGAAAACAATTGAAACTTCATTTTAAACACACACTTAATCAATTGATTTATATTTAAATGGAAAAAAAAGTAGTGGTCAGTTTTATCTATCTTTTGTTTAGCGTTGCCCCATTTTTAATTTGTATTAAAAGCTTGAATTTTTACTTTCCTTCCATTCCCCTGTGTTGTTGTGCATAACAATATAGTAGCTCTCGTTTACCTACAACAAATTGAAAACCATTTGGGGTAAATAACTAAGCCTTTGGTTATTAGATTCTTGGTAGCAAGGCAAAGTTACACACAACAAAACTATTAAAACTTTAAAACCCACTTCCCAAATTAGGTTATTTGACTGGCTAATGATCATATTGGATACAAATTATCATCCTGAACACTGCAATGCTTGATTTTTTTTTTTTCTTCAGGACATTCTAATTATCATTATTTATTCCCAATACAATTCTGTCAAATACCAGATAGCAACACCATTTAAAAGTCATATTGGGTGTCCACACCCACACTTATACTTTACAAATAAATTTGAACTTTGAATCACATGGGCTTAAAAAATATTTGCAAATAAATTCGAAAAAAGATGAATAAATTAAAGAAAAATCATATCTACTAGCAATTTAGACTCACCCAAAGTTGCTATCGAGCTGTGCCGAAGACAACTCTGCATAATTGACAAAGTCTAGAACAACCTGAAAATTTAAAGAGGTCAAATTTAAAGCCAAATAAGCAATCATTTACTGAAAATCTTTCACAAAAAAAGTGCTAGTTTCACAAATAAATGAAACCCAGATTAAATTTATTGATAAAAACTAAGAACTTCAAAGCTTAAGAAAAAACCCATGAATCCAACCATAAAAAAGATGCAAACTTTCACACAAACAAAATATCAAACATGGTTCATTGTTTCTTTTTGCATTTTAAATCACACAATGTTGCCCAATATTTTATCCTCTGAACATTTCATATACTCATGCATTAGATAAAAAATGATATCTATGTTAAAATTATATGGACTGCTTTATCATGGTTTAAGAAAGCAACCACAAATCATAGTATCTACATGTTCCTCAAATTATCTAAAACACTAAAACAAAACACTCGCTTCCCACTACATGTTTAAGATACGTGAACCCACTCTTCACCATTCACCAATACCCTTGGTGCTATAAATCCAAAAAAAAAAAAAAAATTCAATAAATAAAATGGCTACTAACCAAAGCATCCTTTGAACACGGAGTTATTATTGGCACTCCAAAAATCTCATTCTACACTCCAAACTTGCTATATTTGAAAAGAAAAATACACTTGTGAGGAGTGTAGAATGAGATTTTTGGAGTATCAATAACACTTCCCATTAAGAAATTCAAATAAAATCAAACACCCAGAAAAGAAAAAACACACACACACACACACACAAAAGATCTACTTGAATTGTCAAGGAAATCAATATACTAATAAATATAAAGGTATGTTTGAATTGTTAATCAAATAAAAAAAAAACTTTTTAGCTAAAATGATTAATGAGATTTGCATAATACATCACTTTGGTTTCTGAAATTGCAAATCAATAGAAATAGTCCCTGTGATTGTCCACTATCCATTATTTTGGTCCTTCCGTTAAAAGCTCCGTTAAGTGTCTCAGACCTCTTGACTGAAAGTTTGGGCAATTTTCAAAACTTCGTAACTCAATCATTTCTTAGCCAAATTCAACCTATAATATATCAAAATGAATATAAGAAGTGTAGAATAAGATTATACCTATTTGAAAGTCCAATGGTTGCCAACTTCTTTAATACTCAATGAAATTGCCGGAATAAAGGTAAACCTTAAACGTTCATAACTTCTTCAATACTCAATGAAATCGAGTGATTCAAAAAAGAAAATCATACTTCTTGATGAGACGAAAAGAATGGGCTTAATTTCAGCTTCCATGAAACTATTGGTTATGTTAATCCAATTTTTCCATTGCTCTATTTTCATAAACTCGATGGCCGAGAAAGCCAATGGGGGTGGTGGAGCAGAAGCCGAGCAGCAACCGGTGGTGAGGCCATATCCTTTCCACGAAATCGAGTTCAAATGGTAGCGTCATTGAGAGGAAATCAGACTTTTTCGAACCCCAGATGAAATTGATACCTCGAAGCCCAAATACTATCTTCTCGATATGTTCCCTTATCCCAGGTAAACTCTATCCTTTTTTATTTATTTATTTTAAATCGCAAATGCAAGTGATTGATTACGTAGAAAATATATGAAGACCCAATTTTATTAAAAAAGTGATTGTTTGAGCAATTGGTTTAACTGAGAAACTTAAACTTTATTAATTCATATGCCTTAAGGAAATTCCAGGGCGAGGGTTCTATGTGTTGTTCGGGTGGACGAGGATGCTTTCTGAAAATTCCAGCACGAGGTTTCTATGTGCTGTTCCCGCGGATGGGTGGGCGATGCAAAGGTACGATTTAATTTTGATGATGGAGGTCGTTTCTTTTTTTATGTTTAACTCATTTGTGTTTGACTGGATTTTGATAATTTGATGGTCTGTCTTTTGGTTCAATGTGTATGCTTCGCCTCCATGACTTAGGTTTGGGGAATTTTTGTCTTTTAAATTACTCTTCTGATCTGCACTAATTGGTAGAGAAGAATATAGCTCTTCGAGGCTTCAATCACCATCTAAATTTTCTGAAGGTCCATTTTTGAATTGGTGAGTACTTCAATCGCCATCCTCATTTTCTTCTTTCTTTGCAGAATTACGAACAATGATGGGGCCTCTAGAGAGTAACTGCAGGCTCTGCAAAAGTTTGAATCACTTTGTTGGTGATTCCATTAGGTGCACACACTCTTATTCCAACAAACACTGCCAAGGACAAAAGAAACAGAAAAATCTGCCCCTTCAGTAATGCTAAAAAAAAAAAAAAAAAAAAAAAAAGACAAGGTAGACCATTTGACTGAAAGTTCAAATTTTTTTTAACCTATTTGGCTATTTGTGAAATTTTTACTTTCTGGAGTTTGTTCCATGTTTATGAGTGTTAACCGAAAAGGTTTTTGCAGCCATGATGATGGCATATGACATGTAATGTACTTTGTTGGTCAGATGAGAAAGGTTTCATTTGATGCCAACATTATAGTTCCTCTACCCTAACATCTTTCTAAATGTTATTGATCCTGAAGTTCTAGAAGCCACTTTTAATTACATCCCCTTAACCATTGTTCGCTTTCTTTGTTTGATGATTTTTTTTTGTCCTGATATCCATTAACTACCTCATGTAAAGGGAGCCATGGAAGGACGGAAGGAAAGTTCACGTCAGCTGCAGGACAGGCTGGCTCCCGATGATAACAGACTGGCACCTGGTATATCTACGGAAATGGATCACAAGCGAGCATGTGATGGTAGTGATGAAGACCCCGATGTGCCTCCTGGTTTTGGTTGATGAGTTTCCATGCATTTCAGTTTTCACGGTTACTAATTAACCATCAAATTTCAGAGACAACGCACTCCAGGATCAATCTGTGGTAACCACTTAATGAATTTTATGTTGACTTGTTACAATGGGAAAGTTCTCTATAATTCTTTGATAGAATGCGCTATGTTGACATATGTTGCATGTGAGAATTTGGCCTTGGGTATTTAGTGTATTCAAAATTATTAGCTTCATTAAAACTCTGTATGCCGCGCGTAGCGCACCTTTATGTAAAAGAAATCTTTCGCATGCATAAAGCGCGTGCAGAAAGGCTAGTATGTATAATATGTGCAAAAATAACTTTTCTTAGGTAAAATATATACTTTAAGTTTAAATGAGTATCAAGATTCAATACAGTACAAGCGGTCTGGTTGAATTCGATTTGGGCTATTAACTGCGCCAAACCTGAATATCAGATATGTTGTCGAACTCGATTTTAACAATTAAAGGGTAAGCAGGTAGCTTAGTTACAAAAGTTATTAAGATTATTTTTCTTTGTACTACTTGAGGTCTTATATTTGATTCCAATTCCATTGTTGTATTGAAGAATAAGAATAAAAATAAAAATAAAAGACTTAGTTTCTTATGTTTCCATAAAAATAGAGAAAATAATTTGACAAGATTAGCTATTTATCAATGGTCGCATGTGAGACACCTATAATTTGGTAAAATAAGCACGGGCCACAAATTCTAACCAATCAACAACCAGATTATCTTCTCAATAAATATTGTCGCAAATATAAAACTCCAATGATTCAGCTTTTGTATAAGTGGTGAAGAACCAGTGCGGAATCGGTTCCAATCCAAAACCCAATCCCTTATATCAGGGGTTTACTTATGCATGGAATCAAAGACAATCATTTAAATTAGGGGTCCCTTCTGATTCATAAGAGGAACAACAAGGCTGCATTTGATGAAGTGCAACAGAAGCTCGCTGCTTAATTGGAGAAGACTGACTCAACTGAGGCCTACTGAGATATTATAGCCAAATGGTCCTTATCTTGCCTCAATGCTTGAACCAAGTAAAGACGGCTATTTACTTTTCAATCATGGATAGTCGATCCTCATCGAGGATCCAAAACCGTAATGGATAATTCGTTGCCTGAACAAGGACCTCCTTCATGTGATTCTCTTTCCATAAAGAAACCGGGATGTTTGGGTGGTGCCAATGCAATCTCAGTTCCCAACATTATAACCACAGACGCCATGCCTGGTCTATCCTCAGGATGATGTTGCACGCACAAGAGACTAACGTGTATGCAACGTAACACTTCTGATAGCACGCATGAGCTTCCTAAACATGTATCCATAAGTTCTGAATGCCTGCCTTCATTCCATAATCTCCATGCCTGAAACATTCCAAAATTTCTTCATCAATTATAGGCGTAGCTACTATGGAAGAAGAAGAAATATTACACTTGATACTTGCATGTCCAATAAGATTAGGGCTGGTTGGATGGTAGAATTCCTTATTTTTTCTTCCACTAATGAGCTCCAGTACCAAAACACCGAAGCTAAAGACATCAGACCTCACAGAAAATAGCCCATCTATAACATATTCAGGTGCCATGTAACCACTGTACAAAGTACAAACATTATAGATCACAAAACAAACCATTCATGACAAAAGTGGATCAATAGAAGGTACTAAAACACAGACTTACTATGTTCCAACTACTCTGTCTGTATTTCCACCAGTTTGATCTCCTCCAGTCAATGTTCTAGCCAAGCCAAAATCTGAAATTTTCGGGTTCATTTCATTGTCAAGTAAAACATTACTTGCTTTCAGATCTCTATGAATAATCCTCAGCCTCGAATCTTGGTGAAGATAGAGGAGACCGCGAGCAATTCCGCAAATAATGTTGAAACGTTTAGGCCAATCTAACAGAAGTTCTCCACTCGGTTGATCTGGCACAGGTAAATCCGAATGCAAAACTGCTTAGAACCGATACACAAAATTATTTTAGAGCTATTAACAAATTAGTTCTGCAAAACTTTATAAGGTTCCAAGGGTCCAAACCGAAAATGAAGGAGTCCAAGCTTCCGTTGGGCAAGTATTCATAGATCAGCATTTTCTCCTCTCCTTCAACGCAACAACCAAGAAGCTTTACCAGATTTCGGTGCTGAAGTTTCGCAATTACTATAACTTCATTCATGAACTCGTTCAATCCTTGGCCTGAACTTCTTGATAGCCTCTTCACAGCAATTTCTTGTCCATCTGCTAGTGTCCCCTGGAAATTCACTCTATCTCAAATACTGCTAACTTGAAAAGCTTCGGAATGTATTACTTTGCTTGACAATAAATGCTATGAGGGTAATATAGCAACTAAGTTTGATGTTGCTAAAGCTTTTGACACTCTTTATTGGGCTTTCCTAACTTGAGTGCTTCGGGCTTCTGATTTTCATTCTTCTTTTGTTCAGTAGATTGGTTCTATTTTTCATTCAGCACACTTACCAATTCTCTTTAATGGCTCTCTGGTGGACTTTTTCAGTTGCAGTCGTGGTGTTCGACAAGGTGATCCACTTTCGCTTCTTTTTTTTTTTTTGTTGCAGTCATGGAAAAGGTGTTGTTCTTCATTAAATGAGGGTGGTCTTGGCATTCGGAATTTCACTTCTTTGAATCAGGCTTTTCTTCTGGAAAAGTTTTGGGACATCTTGGTCACCTCTTTCTTCACTTTTTCGTGGTTGTTTTTTCAATAATCATGGTTTGCCCTCCTCCTTGTACAAGACTCTTCTATGTGGCCTGGTCTTCGTCCTCTTTTTTTGAATTACAACAGAAGTCATGTTGGATTATTTGTTCATGTCAAAAAAATTCTTTTTTGCATGCCAATTTGTTGGATAAATCCTTAATTGAAGTTTTAAATATTCCAAAGGCTTTGGGAAAAACTTTGCATGCACGGGTCTCCAATTTTATTGTGGATGAGAATTAGATTTGTTCTGCCTCTCTCCATGATAGTTTACATACTATTTGGATCAAATTTGGTCCATTGTTTGCCTAAGACTGCTGAAATTGATGAGACTTTGGTTTGGGCTAATTATTTTGATGGTCATCTCACGCTTTCTCTTGCCTAAGATATTAAATAGAGCAAGCGACCTTCGGTGGTTTGGGACCGTTAGGTTTGGAATTCTTAGTTTCATCCTTGAAATTCTCTTTTTCTATGGAAATTTGTTACAGATTTTTTATTATAGGATAGAGGCTTTTCTCTTCCATCCATGTCTTCCCTTTTTGGATGTAATCCTTCTTATTTGTTATTTATATAAGGCTTGTTTTACTAACAACTCATATATTATTGAATACACCCCCTCCCCACATTTACTTTTTCAATTAAAATTTATCTTAATACACCCTACATACTTACTCGTAATACCCTCATCCCACACTCTCAACATACACCCCATATTTTTTACACCCCACATTTTCTACATACACCTCATACTCTTCACATCTTAGGTGCAAATACATATTTTATGTTTTTAATTTTTTTTTTAATTTTTTAACCCCACACACTCTTCACATCTTCGGATTTTTGTGATTACATATGGCTAGAGTTTATGTGACAACCCGTTCCAAATTTTACGTTTTTATTTTATTTTAAAAACGTGAATTTACGAAATTGCCCTAGAGGTAAGGACTTTGACTTCTGTTGACCATCGTCTAGAGAGACGTATGACTTATTCTTTTAACATATTCTCGTAATACTCGTGGATGTGAACGCATAAGCGAAAGCCGTTTGCGAGTCCGGATTATAACGGTATAGTTACGGACGTTCGAAATTGGTTAAGGCAAGTTTTAGTTTTATGAATTAGTTAGTTAAATTAATGTTAATTGGGTTGTCATGAATAATTATCCTTGAAAATAAGTAGTTTGGGAGTAGGGCGTTATTGATTGTACACTTCACACTATATTGTTTATAATTGAAAATGCTATGACATGGTTGAGTGGTAGATTGCATCATGATATATCCATATGTATATTACTTGCATATAATTATTGGGAATGCTTTCAAGTGCAAAGATGAACTCAGGACACCCAGGTAAGTTCAGGTGAGTTTATGGTACTAGTTGAATCGATTGCGTTATAGCATGACTACAGTTATGAGTTAGGCAACTTCGATACGGTCGTACTGGTTGCCATGAGTTGCACATGTTATATTGAGATGCATTGAGAGCTCATAAACTTGCACCTCGGTGTTAGTGCTCCCGCCCGTGGCCAGGTTACAGTCCTTCACGTGATGTTCACCTCCCGCACCTTACGCTCACCTTGGATCCAAGGTAGGTGCACAGTCCTGTCGTACAGACCACCTTAGGTGGTTCCGACTCGTAGGTGACCCTCGATTATTCGCACAGCCTTCACGTGATCGTAGCACTAGAGCGTTTATATGTATTACACCCAGGCCTGTCGTACATACCACTTTAGGTGGTTCCTACTCGTGTGCAGGTATACTTATTGAGCTATTTGCTAGCCAGGATTGATGAGATATGGATAAGTCGTACATGTCACTATAGGTGACTCCGACTTATATGCTAGCAAGGATTGACGAGATATGGATAAGTCGTACAGGTCACTATAGGTGACTCCGACTTATATGCTAGCCAGGATTGACGAGATATGAATAAGTCGTACAGGTCACTATAGGTGACTCCGACTTATATGCTAGCCATGATTGATGAGATACGGATAAGTTGTACATGTCATTTTAGCTGACTCTGACTGATATATCACTTTGTATTGATTTAGTTCATTTGGCCTACTTATTAATGTATGGTGGATGTGATGGCAAACCGTGGTTTTGGTCATTTCCGAGTATGGTTTGGATATATGTATATATGTTGTACTGTCTTATGGAAAACGATACGGGTTTTACATTTAGGGGCATTACTTTTTGAGAGGTAGAAACTTTGGGAAGCTTAGTTTTATTGCTTACTCACACCTTCTGTTTGGTGCCCTCCAGGTTTTAGCTGCTGAGTTTGTATCGACAAGAATCTATGGCGAATCTTAGTATTGATGGATATTTTTGAGGGTATGATTCTTACCCACATTACTGCACCTTACTTATGCTCTGACATCGCGTGTGAAATGGGTTCGCTCCCACTCGTAGCGCACTCTGGTACTTAGACACTTTTAGATTCAAATTTATTCACTTTTTATGCACTATCACATTTTATGGCTTCGTCACCTTCCAGGTGTCAGCCAGCACAGCTCGATTCAGGGTCCAAGTGGACTTTCTGGGTCGGGGTGTGTCAGTTTATTAGTGTGTGATTGTCATCATCAACCATACTTTTTTAGGAATATCATTCATAACGCAGATATAGGCATGCTGATAGGAATATCATTCCTAACGCAGCTATAGGCATGCCGATGTCGTTGAACTCACTAAAACAATAATAAATATGAAGTCATACCTCATGTGAAGCTTCTGAAATGTAGATTTCATGTTATATTTGTCAAAAATAATTTTTTTTTAACTAATGTGTCTCTAGTTCATTGGTTAGGGTTTTGTTCTATCTTTTATCTTGAGAGTGAGAGTAGTTTAGAGAGTTATGAAGATAAATAATCTTGAAATATACACGTTAAAAGTGATTTGGGTGCATTTAGAATTCCTTTTTTTTTTGTTTTTTGTTTTTTAAACCTTTTAAAATCAAAATTGTCATTGCATATTCAGGTATACAAATCATTTAATATTAAATTTGAATATGGGGTGTAATAAAAAAAACCTTTATATAAAAATTTACTTTGAAAAAACAAAATACCTTGTAAACAGGTCCAAAGCCGCCTTCCCCAATCTTGTTATTGCTTGAGAAGTTATCTGTTGCACTAACTAATGCAGTCAGTTCAAAGAGCGGGAGCTCAAGTTCCCCATTTCGTGCCCCTTCATTGTCCTGATCTCTTTGTCTTATTTCTGTTTTCTCGCATGTAGTTGAAATGGTGGTTAGCTATAGCCTTTAGAAAGAATAAAGCAAACCAAAGCTTCTATATACATATACCATATATCTTTAAACAAATTTAAACTCGATATTGGAAAGATGGTGAGGGTAAGTTAATTTACCTTCTAATTTTTTCCTGCTTCGACGAATGTAACACCCAACTAACAGCAATCCAGAAAACACTACTACTACCACAGCTGCAACTATCACTGCTGTCTTCACTTTTCCATCATTTTTTTCTTCAGCAATAAAAAGAAGGGTCAGTTCTTTTACTTTGATAGAAGCAAAAGGGAGTTATAACGTAAAAAGTACTTAACAAGCAACTCATGAATCATAATACAAAATACATACCTAACTCTGAAGCTGGCATTCGAATAAATATTTCCTGCCCACCAGCCGAAACCTGTGCGATATCTATTAGATCGCCAAACCAAATGGTGCAACCAGTGCGTCCTCCAGTATCCGAGCTTCTATAAGCCGTACAGGAACAGTTTTTCAAGCATTTGGCGCTGCATTCCTTGAGATTTATGGTTTTGTCCACCCAAGAATGTGTAGTGTCTGGCAGTTTCAAACCAACGAATTTGACAAACCCATCTTTGTCTCTTCCCTGGCAGCTTAAAGGTTCATTGCGCAAGCATCCTAGAGACCAGTCCGTCAAATTCCATTTTTCTTGAGACTTAGGCTTGAATCCTTTTAGACACTGGCAGACTGGACTCTGACCAATGATACAGTTCGAATTCGCTCCGCAGAAGCTATAGCGATCACACAAATCTCTAGGTCTTGATGAATGTACCGTCCAATCTTGACTTTCTTTCTTCCAATGAAAGCGAGCGCACGAACTGGTAGTTTGGTTCAAAACTATTCTTGAGGTAATAGACCTAATGGTTGGGTTGTACATGTAGTACACTTCACTATTGTTGTAGACAAAGTTGAAACTATAACGCGTACTATGTTTTTCTGATGAACCACAGAATGTAAGGCCATTCAATGGGATGGCACGATAGATTTTTGAAGTGCTGTTCCGAACGAATGCTTGAGGGTATGCTTGAAGATCCATTTCAATCCCATAAGTGAAGGTACCAGGACATGGGTCTTCTGCATTTTTCCATGCTGATATACGTCGATTTAGACCTGTCCTCAAGTCCCATCCCAACTTCATTCCTGGTAACAATGTATCAGAGGGATAGTCAAAGCTTTGCCACAAATAGGTTCCGGAATTTCCATCTTTCCCATCTGTTTGTACCAAATTTCCAGAATCTAACAGCTGTACCCTTGCACTTTCGGCGTGTCTAACTGAGCCGGCTGACCAAAAAACAGTCTTATTTTGACCCAACACCACAAGATAGCCTGTGTTGTTTATCATCAACACGCCAGACAAGTCACTGATTGGGTTGCATCTGTTTGCCACCCAAACAACTGTTTGAACGGGGATGTTCTTGTAGTTGTACCAAATTCCCAAATAGCGATTCTTGGAGCTACCTGGACTGAAGAAACCAAGCTCAAAGCTTCCATCTTTTGAAACCAAGGTCGTTCCGTCAAGTATAGACTGCGAAGGACCAATGCTGTCAACTGCAAGGGAAATTTTGGATATGTACAGCAGAAAGAGCAAATTAGTACTGACGAAAAGCAAAAAACCAAAACCCCTCATTGAATTCTTTTTATTCTCCAGTTCCCTTCATCATGGTAATGGTATCATTCAAGCTAAATATATAATAAAAAAGAAAAGATCCTTGCGGTTCGATCATTGTCCATCCCAATTCAGACGGCAAATAATTGTGCAAAATTCCGAAGAATGGTTAACCTCGGACAAGTCAAAAGTAGATTTTTTTTCTTGCCTCCTGCTTTATCTATAACTTAGTGGATACGTCCGTTCGTGACATGAGTCCGTGAATGCTGAGGCCCTACAAGCCTGGAATTGAAGACAAAGCGTGTTTTGGAGTAAACGAGAGGAATCCTCTTGGTTCCTTCCTCTCAAAAGTTTGTTGTCTATATAAATGCCAGTCCAGTCATTATCAGTTCTGATTACACGGAAACCAACCCAAGAGTTTGCATCACAACTTCCCAAGCTAAAAGACACGTTACTTGGTTTTTTTATTTTATTTTATTTTTTTTGAACTCACATTGATGAAAAAAAAAAATATTGCATGAACTTATAAGGATGAAAAAAGTAAATTAAAATTTCTTCAGTGTTACTTATTTTTATTCTTTATTTTCTATTTTTAATTTAATTTTAAGGATGAAAATTGAGTGGTAAATCCAGCTGTACAAAACTTTGAATACATGAAAAATATTGAGTGGAGGTTGTGGAGCTAAAAATAATCACAAGGTGACAAGTGAATTTTTGGATAGAAGAGGATAAAAATAATCTTGAGGCATACCGGGATTCCTACACGCGAGCAGCAGCAGCGGGCAATCATCCCTCAACCAAGTCAAAAGTGTTCAAAATAGGTAACAAATTCAAAACAATTTCATCCACCCTCATCCTATATTCTCCACAAGGTAATTATTCCATAACCACCAAAACATTTCTTTTAAATTATGTTAATTAGTCAATTAATTGATTTATTACCTAATTAATCTATTAATGGCTAATCAACTACAAATTACACCCAAAAAATACCACAAATGGCCGGTCCCTATTCTCCTAATAGGGCCGGCCATATCCCTAGAAATAGCTCTCCATTCTCTCCAAAACTACGTCCAAGTCTCTTGCAAAACTCTACAAAATTCTCCAAACACTTTTCTCTCAAAATTCTAACTTTGGCAACAGAGGTTCTTCGGCCAAAGCCCCCAACCACCCCCCCCCCCCCCCATTTATCGTGGGCGCGTGAGGCTTTTTGGCCTTGACCAAAGGTGTGATTTGTTTTGTAGGTGCAATTTTGTCCAAGAAGGAGAAGGCGGAAATTTGCATCCACAAATTGGTGCTTTCATTGAGAGTTGAGTCCCACACTTGTAGAAGACTTTCGCATCCAAGGTTTTCTATTTTTTTGTCCATTTGTAGATTTCTTGTATGTTATTATTATTAGAATTTTTTATTTGCAAAAATTCTTTGATAAAACATAAAAGAGAAGTACACTGGTTAGAAATTTAGAAAATTCAACAAATGAAAATTTCAACACTTAAGAGATGGACCACGGCGATCCACGAGGCTAAATGTGACAATAGGTGGAGTGGCACCATCACCACAAGTTTCCCTCACGGGAACCACCGTGGTGGCTACCACGGTAGCCACCCGCGACGAGATCCATAGTGTCACCACCACGGCCCGAGCCGTGCCATCCAAGATGGATCACGGCCTAAGCTATGTCACTCCACGCTCAATGCGTTGCCAAGCAGAGCCCAAGACTCACACCCGCGTGCATTATACATTAAGCAGCCCACTCTCATGGCCTAGCCTGCTCCTGCTGAGCAGCCCATTCTCGTGGCCCAGCCTGCTCCCATGGCCTTGCCTGCTATTGTGGCCTCCCCTACTTCCGCCTAGCAGCCCGCGACATTCCAAGCAGCCCAAATTAGCAAAAAACTATCTCAACCATCCAGACAACCATTGAGCCGGGGGCATTTTCACCATGTTTCTCTGCAGATTTGACATTTCCCAATTCAAATCTCGTGCCTGGACATTTCCACTGCTCAAGGAGGCATATTCCTTCCAAGCTCTTCCAACCCAAATAGCTAACAACACTTGTCTCGATAAGTCATAGAGTTGACGAACGCCCTTGCACAATAGATAACCTTGGTGAATCAACTCTTGCAATGCACCGAGATCCAACGTGCCCATGAAGAGGTGTCCCAAAGAAGGACAAGGGCAGATGAACCTCTCCACTAGCGCCCCGGTAAGCAGCCACTTGACCAGTCACAAATTGAGCGTTCTAACGAAGTACACTGCCGACTGGACCCCCGAGATAGCGTATACTCCCGTGTTAGTGTGTGGAGGAGCGTGCACTCTTAGTTAGGCCTATGGACAAATATATAGTCACGGTAGGGGCCACACATCGATAATCAACATAAGCAACCTTCCAAGCGAAGTGTTCATTCGCGGTAAGACCCGCAAGAAGCATCCTCCACCTTACATTGAAGTAGGCAGCATAGCGGACGGAGAGAAGCAGTCACTTAATCCGGCTCAAGTTCAACCAGTAACTTGCAAGTTACCCGCTCGCCTGCTAGGAACATACCACACCTACCTCAGCTGTGGCATTGACAAGTTGAACACATGGAAGAGCAGCTTAGACCAGCAGGTCATGACCAGGGGTAGTCGAAAGCTTTGCCACCCCAACAAAGGAAAATTCTGGAAGAAGTAGAAAGGCTCATGAATGAGTGATTGCGTAATTTCCCGTGCAACGAAGCTATTGACAAAGCATTCCGATGAGACATAACCAAAATAAGCGAGTCATCTTTCAATGACAAGATCGAGCAGACGGGACTACCCCATATAGATTGCTGGATATAAAGACTACTTTTGCTCCGACAAATGTAGCAGCTCAGCCTAATGGCACACCGGGGCAGACGAGTACCATTTTGACACACCAACCTAACTAGTAAGAACCAAGGGTAAGCTAAGGATTATTTCGGTTGTCCTAGTAGTCCAGCTTTCCTCAGCTACACTCACGATAATGATTTCCATGCTCTCCAGTACGAGAGGATAAAATAATTGTTCTTAAGTGCGAGAGGGTAAACCAATTCCCCTACATCCAAAAGGGTCTGCTCTTCAGTGTGAAAGGATAAACTGATTGCTCTCCAATACGAGAGGGTAAACCAATTTCCTGACACCCAAAAGGGTCTGCTCTCCAATGCGAGAGGATAAACTAATTGCTTTCCAATGCAAGAGGGTAAACCAATTCCCTGACACCCATATAGGTTTGCTCTCCAACGCGAGAAGATAAACTAATTGCTTTCCAGTGCGAGAGGATAAACCAATTCCCCGACACCCATATGGGTTTGTTCTCCAGTGCGAGAGGATAAACTAATTGCTCTCCAGTACAAGAGGGTAAACTAAATCCTCGACACCTATCTGGGTAAGCTCTCCAATTTGAGAAGGCCACATAGCTCAAAAGATCGAATGCTTAAAGATTAACCAGGAAACAAATGGTTAGGGGGCAGCATCCACTTTTACACTTAACAGTTCGCTTATCCGACACTTCATCTTCAGCAACTCCAATCTTGGCAGCTCCATCCTTGACTATTCCATCTACAGTAGCTGAGAAATCAAACTCAAGCTGTTTCCTCATTTTTGGCAAGCAGCCCAGACATGGCAGCCTAAACCGTTGCCAATGCCACACCACTTCCTCGGCCCATGCCGAGCCAATCCTTGGCTTTAATCAAGCCGAGCAGCACAAGTAATGACCCCTGCCAAACCACCTCCTTGGCCCATGCCAAGCCGACTCCTGGCCCCTGCCAGTTGATGTGTTGCACCACCCTAACGGTTGCCCCGCAACATCACTATCCACGAAGAAGACAAGAAAAATGAAATTTTTCTTACATCAGTGAGGCATGGAAAAAAAAAACGATGAAAGCAATGAAATATGGTCCTTTGCACGGGCAAGATGTAGAAGATTGCTAGAGGAGGGGGAACACATATCCTCTAAGCTCTCTCTTTCTCTCTTGTAGGGTAGAATAAATCGCTCTTCAAAATTGATTTAATAACCCACTTAAGGTGGACTTAAATAGGCTTTGAGAGAAATTTATTTCTCTTTCCTAGAAGGATCTAATTTCCTATTAATAAGGGAATCTACATCAAAATAGGAAGCAGTCCAAAGTTTCCTAAAGCAAGAAAATCTTTACACCTGTTGCCATTTTCTGCGAGCATCCCAACATGTGTGGGGGTATTTGTGGAGCCAAAAATAATCACAAGGCAACACATGGATTTTTGGATAGAAGAGGACAAAATAACCCTTGAGGCATATCAGGATTCCTACGCGCAAGCAGCGGGCAATCTTCCCTCAACCAAGTCAAAAGTGTCCAAAATAGGTAACAAATTCAAAACTATTTCATCCACCCTCATCCTATATTCTCCACAAGGTAATTATTCCGTAACCCCCAAAATATTTCTTTTAAATTATGTTAATTAGTCAATTAATGGATTTATTACCTAATTAATCTTTAACTACAAATTACACCCAAAAAATACCACAAATGGCCGGTCCCTATTCTCCTAATAGGGCTGGCCATATCCCTAGAAATAGCTCTCCATTCTCTCCAAAAACGACTTCCAAGTCTCTTGCAAAACTCTACAAAATTCTCAAACACTCTTCCCTCAAAATTCTAACTTTGGCAACGGAGGTTCTTCGGCCAAAGCCCCCCTCCATTCATCGTGGGCGTGTGAGGCTTTTTGGCCTTGACCAAAGGTGTGATTGTTTTGTAGGTGCAATTTTGTCCAAGAAGGAGAATGCGGAAATTTGCATCCACAGAGGTCGTATGTTGTAGGGAAATTTTATTTGAACCCATGTAACCTCTTTCTACACCCAACTTACTCTCTTCACTCATATTGTTTTTTATTAAAGAATTAATATCCCTTAAAACCCAAATTTATTACCTAAATTACCCTCTCAAACTCAATTCACAATGTAAGGTTATCTTTACACTCATCCCCTTTATAAAATAACATCTCTAATTGAATGTTTTTTTTTTTAATTAGACTTAAAACATTACCAACATTTCCATCGTGAGTTCTAGACTTAAAACATGATAGAAAATAAACTAAAAAAAAGGAAATTTCAACATATCTATCAAAACATTTTTAATCATCTTCAAGAGCCACAACATCATTAGTGGCTACATTTTCTAGCCCTCAAAGTTGCTTAAATTGATCAACATGCTCCTGGTATTGGCCACATTCAATAGAAAAGCTTGTTTTTCTCTATCTGATCTATAA